AGAACAATCAGGTGATCACTAAAAGGGAAGTTGGGCGTTGCCGTAGCTACTGGGCTGAGCCGTGGCCCCGTCGCGAGCGGGTCGGGCTTTCTTCATGTATTTTTGAGCTGTAAAAGTAGTGCATCCTCAACCTTTGCGGATAGGAATACTATGTCAATAAGGCGTCTGCGCAGCGCATGAACGCGGAGCGTGTCCTAAATTCGAAAAGTGGGCGGTGATGGTTAAATAGTGCCAGACCTCAACTGTTTATTTCTTATGTCTAATTGGCCCGTTTCAGATGGGACAAAATGGCTCAATACGATCTGCCGGCGATGATCAATCAAGCTCTGGTAGTCTCCGGTCAGCCGCACGTCTACTATGTCGGGTATTCACAGGGGACCCTCACCATGTTCGCCAAGCTCTCCGCTGATCCTTCATTCTCCAAAAAGGTAACTGGATGAAAGCCTGGGTCAAGCGTGTCGATCATATTTAGACCACTCAGAGTGAGAGAGACGAAAACATCTTTATAGGACAATGCGTCACCTTACACTCATAACTCAAGGCCCCTAGTCATGGCGTGGGTGTCAGAGGCCAAGGGGGGAGGGAAGTGCTTCGAAAAGATCTTCACCTAATCGCTACGCTTAACCCTTGGCAGAACATTTTCCGAAAGCTCGCTTTCAAAAAAATTTTCAGATTAAAATGTTCTTCGCGTTGGCTCCGATTGGATCAGTTGCCCATATTGAAGGCCTCCTAAGAACGCTCGTTACCGATTTCTCCACAGAGCTTGCTGTCAGTAAGGAACAGAACGAAATAGTACTGAAAAGGCTCAGATTCTACCTGATGTCTAACTTTTCAGATTTGGACCAAATTATTTGGATCGGGTGAATTTCTTCCAAACAACTTCCTAATAAAATCATTTACATCAATGGCATGCGGGTACGGAATTCAACGCGAAATCTGCGAGCATGTACTGTTTGCAATTACGGGTCCTGACACGAAAGGCATGAATACGGTGAGTCGTCCGTGAAAGAAAATGAGTCAAGTAGTCTCCTTTACTCGAAGAAGGTGAAGAGATACTTTTTTGGAACTGCAACCACTGAGCTCTCCAAGAAGAAGGAGCTACTCCTAGTGGTCAGAGGCACCCTTTCTGGCTCGTGCACGTTTGTTCACATGAACTGTTGAGAGCTATATATCAGACCAAAATTGTCGGTGTGCGGAATTTTCGGTGGCGTGGGCGGGGCCCTACCGGTCGGTCACGAGCACGGTGTGAATCAATGATCACCTCACTCCGACAAGTGGCCACGAGTGATCCCTCTCATTCAAGGAATCTGTGACGAAAACAGGGAAAAATTACAACTTGACACTGCAAACTTCGAAATAAGTGTAAAAAAAAGAGGGGGAGGAGGTAGTGTTTGGACGCGGGAATCAGCCTCTCCAAACCGCCGTCCCAATGTTCGAACCATGATGAAAGGGTCGCTTAGAACAAAATCATTTTGTTGTGCAGCCCTGTAAATGCTTAGAAGACGTGGAATCCTTCT